TTATTCGATTATTTTCAATTCAAATAACTTTCAAATCATTACAGTATGCGCCTATGGAATGAAAGCTTCGAAACATAAATTCTGAACACATCATAGAACAGATTTTGTCAGACCATTTGAGCAATGAGAAGCAGGTGGAGTGCAGAGCAAGGTTGAGAGGTGTGCACACAATACACACTCCCATACACACACACACACACACACACAAACTGCTTTGTTCCCCGGGGTAGACCACGGAGCCGTCAAAACCACTCTGATTCTGAATTAGCTCTGATTGGCTGTCATTGCAGTGTGTCCCACACAGCTGAGACCACTCAAAACCACACACACACACACACACATACACACACACACACGCACTCACACAAACACACTTTTATGGTCTGGGTATCATGTTTCACTAAACTGCTGAGTTCTCTAGGCTGTAACTAGGGCTGTTTTAGGAGCTGTGGTTGAGTATAAATGTGTGTGTGTGTGTGTGTGTGTGTGTGTGTGTGTGTGTGTGTGTGTGTGTGTGTGTGTGTGTGTGTGTGTGCTCACATCTGTCTATATGACTGCAGTAAATGCATGTATTATATTTATTCAAATTTTCAGATGGCTTGGCAGTTTGTCCTGCCTTTTGCAACCTTTTGATATTCTCTGAGGAGCTATAGGCTAATACATTTTGATATATTTCACATATTTCACAACAACAATCTACCCGAACATCAGTTCAGCACAGTTCAGTATCTGGTGAAATGGTTCTGTGTCACCACCGCAGAATTCATGCAAAAAGTCTTGGATCTGTTGAGTGAACATCTCAAGAGAGAGTAAAGGAAAGCATTTGTTTTGACATTGTACTCATCTATTTAATTAAGAAATTATACAGATGTTCACATAAACGTTGCTCTGACACCGCAAGCATGCATGCTAAGTAAAAAGCGGGTCCAAAAAAAGCAGACCCGCCCACCTCCAAAGGGATTCACAGTGCCAGCAAAGACTTGTGTGGCTAAATCAGTGGGGTATACCAGTCTTGCTAGCTCAGTTGGGGTTGGATGTCCATCCAACAAGCCTACTTCTCTGGTTAGAAATGTGTCTTGGTAAGCATCATTCCTATTCTGAAACTCAAGCTGGGAGCAGCAAAAATAAGCAAAACAGAAAGTGGGAGGAGGTGTAAAAAGAAAAAAAAGAAAATATTCTATTAAAATGTGCAAAACCAAAGCTGGATTCCATCTATAGAGGCCTCGGTGTCACGTTTCTCTACGAAAAGCAGCACATCTATCCAACTGAGTGCCACTAAGAACGGAAAGCAGTGCTCTCTAAGAAAGAGCCACGTGCAGTAACATGCATGAACACACTCATCAATGCACGTGGCCATGCACGTAATATGTGCGTGTGTGTGTGTGTTGTAGGATCCATACAGGATCCTACACAGGCATGCCAAGTAATCTCAGGAATCAATTTCTCTTCTAGTGCGGCGTGGCTCTTTTTTATTGGTGATGCATGACTAACCTCTACTGGCGATATACAAGGCTGCACTCATGATATTTATAGGTACAACTCCCAACCAACAACCTAATGTGTGCCCACTGGTGGTTTGGTCACTAGTTCTCAATGCACCAAACTTTTCACAATGATTTTTACAGTAATTAGCTGTATTACACCTTATATTTACTCCAAATAGTAAGTAATTAAGTATGTGATCTTTGAAAATAGTTCCTTCTCACCATCCTGTCTTTCAAACATTTACCACAAACCACTAATAAAATGTCTGGAGCTGGAGAAATGCACATGTCTTATTCTAGTTTTTGAAGGGTTCAGCTTTTATGTTTGACATCATAAGACTTTTAGACAGAATTATGATTTAAGCAAACATTTGACATCTTGGTTGGCACTTCAGGCTGTTTTTCAGCTCTGCAGAACTCAAGTTCAGTTGAGCGCCAACATCAACATATTAACCATGTATATCACATAACTGAAGCGGCAATGAAAACAAAAGAGGAATCCACATGGTAAACACAATGGACCATAGTAAACGGTTCAAACAGGCAAATATGGGACAAAGGAACATCTCCGTCAAAGTCCTGGGAAAATGTTAGGGAATGTGGGGACATTTGCTTATTTTTTTTCCCCTCCCCCTACAGCAGTGTCAGCAGCACTGCTTAAAGCCATGGCTTACATAGATAGTATTGGCTGTTGGATGTAGCATTGAATAAATTGTAAGCCCCACTTAGCCTCAGCGAACCTTGATTTAGACACAATGTATACCGGTGAGAATAGATGGGAATGATATATGAAGACGAAAACGAATTTTATATGTATGGTGGTGAAGAAGAAAATCCTCAGTGTTTCTTCTTTGTTGTATGATCTTTGCTGTATAGAAAATCACATCAACTGAAACTTTACTCTATTTGCTTTTATTGTATTGCAGTTACTAAACCAGAACAATATACAATCTGAAAAAACACAGTCAGTAGGCACACAGTGGTAGGAAGCTGCCACCAGACAGCTCTCTTTCCACCACACAAGCAACCCCTTACTAAATTGAACACAAAGCCAACCCAAGGCTCCAATTTTAGTTTAAACAACTAATGTTTTTCATGTTAGACAACACTTGAATTTAAATGACAAAATTCCACACTTTCATGGATGGTTCATGGATTATATGGAGCAGCATTGCCTCCAGGGGCCAATAACAGAGATTTGTTTGGGACCAATTTGATGGTCTATTAAACCACATTATTCTGTTCAGCCTTGGTTTACACTGCACCTTTAAACCCATTTGCAGTGTCTTGCTAAAATAACACAAGTGCCACTAGGGGTCACCATTTGTGAGGTTTTAAGCTATCCTGTTGCACATTTGGTTTAAACGAGTTCATGAGGGAAGCTTGTTATGGGTGCAATATGAATGGCCTTCGAGGTTGGTGAATGGATCTTAAGTTAAATTGTATTTACCTCTGGTTAATGCGAGACTACTTGTTATTACAGAACAATGTGCTAAGCAAACAGCTGTGGATATTTAGTCTTTTCAAGCAAAGTGTTGAAATAATACTGGCAATATTAATCTATGATTATACAGAAAACATTTATGCTATTAGATTTTAAGCCAAGGCCTTCTATTTTAAATACTGATTTATTTTGCTGCATATTTTTCTGAAGATTCTCTGTGCAAATCAAAAGCTATGTGAGGTCCAAATGTACCTCAGCTGGAAGGAACCATAGGGTGAGATAGACGGGAACTCATTTCAATCCACGAGAGTCAACCCTTCCTCAGCAGCTCTCTGAATTTTAATGGAAAACTTCAGCAAAATTACTAGCACATAACAACAGCCATCAACAGAAGTTTAGCATATTGTTTTGCAGTTTGTATCTGACGTTGTTGCTGTTCAAGTTGTTAACCTTTCCTCTCATTCATATGTCCTTCCTTCTCTTTGCATTAAGTTCTTAAAACAGTCATCCAACCAGTTCTAAACAGCAGCACTTCATTGGTTTGTTTGGCTATCAATTGAAATAATCTGAGGCTTTGACATGAATGCTGCCTCTGTTTATCAGTTATGGGTCACATGACATTAACACTGGCTGCTTTGTTTTTGTGTAATGATGTCACATGAACGTCATGTATCTTCATGCTGCAAATGTTGTGTTCATTTTCTGGCCCTAAAAGAGTTACTCAGTTGAGTAATTATAAAAATTAGACAAAAAAAAAAGCACAAAATTGTATTAGAATTTAAAGAAATTTGAACAAATTTGGTAAAATGGTGGTCCTGGCATCATCATATCTCCCAGATCAACACTGTGAGCAACAGCACGTTTCCCCCATATGTCTGTAGGGAGGTGGTCCTTTTATTCACACTGAAACCAAAATACTACCTCCATGTCACACCACGCCCTTCAGTGTATCTCTCAGGTGCTGAAAGTGTGAAACCTGCATACAAATTTGGATGTGGCAAATGATTTAGGCTTTTGTTAACTCACATTAGCATAAAACAATACAGACAATACATTAATACAGTGCTAAACTGGAACAGCTGGTTTGTGAAGGCATCGTTGCTGCTGGGAACAAAGTAGTATGCATAGAACTAGTTATTTCATTTTGATGGCACTTGCCTGATTGAAGCGGTGATATGCAAATGAATAGGAAGTCAACTGCAGTGTGCGATACCTTCTGACATTCCACAGAACCGCCGCTGACGGAAATACCTTAAATCCTGTTTAGCAGGCTGCAGCGTTTTAAAGGTTTAGCCCACCCAGGACAGACAGTTTCTACAAGAACAGTGGCAATAGATGTAACCTCAGGGACGTCAATGCTTTTCAAGGAGCAAATAAGTTTCAGTACCTGGGATGTATCTCAGAATTATTCCAAAGGATCTGGCTGAGGAAGTCTATCAGGGTTGAGAACATCTGCTAGGTTCTTTGAGGACTTCTTTAAGGGTTGTGGGCAACCTGCTGGTCTGCCAAGTTTCAGCACATGGGAGAAGTTATTTTTCTATACCTAACCAAGTGAGTTTGTTTAATAAAACCAAGGAGAATTCTGGCATAAAGGGCTTTCTCTCAGAAAGCCCTGAAGTCAAACTTCTTCCATGTGCCAAGTTTCACAAAGGACACTCAGGACATCCGATACTGTCAATCCCCCACCACTAGAGGGCCCAGTTTGACAACAAAAAGGAAGCATTATTATATTATTTAAAGTAGTTGTACTGTACTTTTCAAAAAAGAAATGTATTATCCATTAAGTAAGTCATTTATTTGTCATGGTGCAATACTTTTGTATTTGGTTATTGTTTCAAATAAACTAACACCACTCCTAAACTTGGTAGATAATATAGAAATGAAAGGAACCAATATAATAGTTTTGTAGTCATACTCATACAGCAATAAACTTTCAATTGAACCATTGAGCCGTTAGATCTGGGAAACGTAAGACGAAACAAAAGAACAGAAATCATGATGAATTATTAACAACAGGTGCAAGGCCCAACCTTATCAGCTGACGTGAACAAGGAAGCAGCGCCCAAGGAAAGGAAAAACCTGTTGGGTTGCTCTTCTGTTTGGGAAACCTTTGACTGGCAAAGAGAGATGCAGGTAGCAGAGCGGTAGCAGCGCTGTAGCAGAGCGGTTAAGTGTATAGTACTCAACTTCAGGGCTCGCAAAAATGATGCAAAAAATCTTTATAGGACTGGTCCTTTTAGCTTTCCTCAGTGTGGCGTGTATTGTTCTGGTTCTATATACCAACGGAGACTACAATTCAAATATTTTTCCAAAGCAACATCATATTGCAAATGGAAACCACACACGTTCCCAGGAGATAAAAGAACTTGTTCAAATGACTGCTAAAGTCCTAAATGTCACTCACGAAGAGACACAGACGCCACCCACTGAGAGCAAGCCTTTGGGACGCTGCCCTGACAACCCTCCAAATCTTGTGGGTCCATTGCTTGTGGAGTTTGATTCCAAACGGACTTTGGATGAGGTGAGAGGACTGATCGGTCATGCTCTTCGGGAAGGAGGACGGTACAAGCCAGCAGACTGTATTGCCCAACAGAAGGTAGGTGGAGGAATGGAGAGACAAATGAATAGATGAACAGAATAATTGGAACAGTTTTTTAGATACTTGGAATCTATTCAACTCAAATAAGTGTCAAAACTTGTATGTAAACTTGTAAGTAAACTTGAGTGAAGTATGTCTATTTATATAATGTAAGAACATAATGATAGGTAAATCAACAACAACTTGCAATTGAATATAATTTATTAAGGCTTCATTGGCAGAGGAAAAATATGTTTACATTGCCACGGCCATGTGAAATAAAAACAAAAAATGTATGTACAATAAGTAAAGGTCTACTAGAATACAGAAATGTGTGAACAGAGCTGTGTAGCATTGCAACAGCGTAATAAAAGATACAAATGAAGATAAGTAAAGTTTAACTTAAAAATGCTATACATATATGTTTACCTGAGTAAAGATAAGTCACAGAATAACCGATTACTGATTATAAAAAGATAAAAATAAACACTGCAGCATTTTGATAGATTCATTTAAAGGTAAGGCTTATTTTTGTATGTCCACTATGTCTATCTACAGAGATCAGCACAGTGCAAATGGTAGGTGCATTATTACACAGATGACTGACAGGTTTTGACATGGTTTTATTCGATCGGACGCAATGTTCCCGCCATGAGAGCTCACAAATCCTGCTGCTGTGTTTGCACATTGCTGTATTTCACCCTGCAAATATGGTGAAATCATTTAAGAATAATTCAAGTCTCTCACAGGCAACGCCCATGAGCCTGTCGTGATACTGGGCTTGTATTTACTTCAGTGGGGTTTTCTCGTGTGTGTATTTAACATTCAATTCTATATCCAACACATGATGACGTGTTATCCATCGTTTCATTTTTTTCTATTCTATTTACTCTTCTTTGAAAAAAAAAAAAAAAGTAAACAGAGAGGATAATAAAGTAGGCCCACCATTTTAGCTCACTTAAAAAAATACTTCCCCACATTCTATAATTCAATGCTATCAGACGTACTCATATTAAAAGGGTTTTAAGGATTTTACACACCGTATTATAAGTTTAAGTTACTAAAAGGAAAAACACCAAAATCATAATGTTTTGGTAAAAGCCAACTAACTTATTTCATTTGTTTAGGTGGCGATCATCATCGCATTCCGCAATCGGCATGAGCACCTTATTCATTGGCTGTATTACCTTCATCCTATATTGATACGACAGCAGTTGGACTACACGGTGTATGTCATCAACCAGGATGGAGAAGGCGTGTTCAACCGGGCTAAACTGATGAATACAGGCTTCGCGGAAGCAACGAAAGAATATGATTACGACTGCTTTGTCTTCTCTGACGTAGATTTGGTTCCGATTGATGACCGTAACCTCTATAGATGTTTTGACAATCCTCGACACTTGTCTGTGGCTATGGACAAATTTAGGTTCAACTTACCCTACAACAGTTACTTTGGTGGAGTGGCTTCGTTGTCTAAGAGCCAATTCTTGAAGATTAACGGCTTCTCGAACACGTTCTGGGGCTGGGGTGGGGAGGACGACGATATCTATAGACGAATTATCTACTGTGGCATGTCCATTTCTCGACCTCACACGGTGATGGGAAGGTACAGGATGGTCAAACATAGCAGAGACTTGCACAATGAGGCTAATCCAAAGAATCCTGATAAACTCAGCCAAACCCGACATACCATGGATAAAGATGGAATTAATTCTCTCAAATACACAGTCAAGGAGATTAAGAAGGATATACTGTACACTTATATCAATGTGGATATTGAGGCTCCGCTCCGCTGAAGAATGGTAAATGAATGAGGATAGAACCTGTGGCTCTTGGACTGCTGTTGACCATTGATTCATTGGTGTTTCAGTCTCAAACAAAAGGTGAACTAGAGATTGCATATTCTTAAAACCTCTCGAGCAGCTGTTTGTCTTGGTGTAGGGTTGTATGCAAACCTGTGTGTTCCTGTGTGTGTGTGTGTCTAAGTGAACTACCGTGTACATAATAAAGTAGAGAGATTCTTTCCAGTTTGTTTCTCAGGTGCTTGGGCACAATCCTTACATAACACACACATAATTCAAATGTAGAAGCACATGTTTCTTTAAAGGTATACTGTGAAGCATGGAGCTACTCTTAGTGATGGATTCAGAGACAACAGTCAACAGTTTGCTCAAGAAGAAGGAAAGATGGCGGTTTGAACAAGTGGACACATCCATTTGTTTTGTATGCATTACAAAGTAAAATATTATAT